ACAGGGGGGATGGACAAAGACTAGATGATAGCACATGAAAGGTCTCCATACCTCTGTGTCATCTCTCCATAACATTTTAAAGTTGTAAATACAGCTCAACAGCTCTATATTCCTAAAAAAGAATCTTGGAAAATAAAGTTTGTCAAATAAAGGTGGTCATGTTTGGTGTTTTAAAACATTTATCTTAACACCTGCACCTCAAAAAAATTTATTGCATTACATTAAAAATGTAACAGAATGAGCAGATTAGGTATGCATGCTAATCGCTTGCTTGTTTGACAGGTGTTGGGGTGGCTAGTCACAGTATGGCGACATAAGTTTAAGTCATGGTGGTGATGGCTCCCATTGGGGCCAGTAGAGCAATATCAATGTAAAATATAACATTAACATATACTACTTCATTTACTTATCAAACAGTGTTAACGTTTAGACCCAGGTCAAAAGCAGGTCCCGTTTCGCTGCAGTCAGTGGAGTGCTTTCATGAAGACTCTCCTTGCTTCAGCCTATAGGTGTGTGTACGCAGTGGGGGCGGGCTGACATGAACACTTCAAGTGTAAAAGCCAGGAGTTACGAGTAAGAAGTTCAGAGTTAATATTTATACAATTACACTTTGATTTAGTGACACTTGGTTTTTACACTCAGTTTTGACACCAACTACTTATCAACTGAGAGTCAAATATAATGGATTTGAATCTAGCCAGGGTATAATTTACTCTGCTGTGACTCAAATTTCACTAACACCAAGAATTTAACTCTTCTCAATTTGCTGTGTAGTTTTTATGTTGCACAGGAGATTAGGGTGTGTGCAAGAGCATCACAAATTAATCTAACATTATTTCTCCCCCACCAAATCTTATTTATGAGGATACTCCCTTCCTAATTAGTTTCTCTGTCTGATTCTAACTGCATAACAGAAACAAATACATGGTATAAAGAGTGATTATACTCCACATTTGCACACAGAATGACTGATTTTTACAATTGTGAAGATTAACTGTAAATTTACCTCAAAATGAAAAGTTGTGAATTTAAAGCCCAGTGCCTAGACACCAAAGGCTTCATCACATTTCTTTTTTTCTTAGAGTACGGAGATTGCACTCCAATTCCTTAAAGGTTAAACCTTCACTCCTGGCAAGATCTGAGGTAGGAACCAGACCTAGCAAAGGCCTAAAAGCAGTCTGTTAAATTTTATAATCAACAGGAAACCAGTATAAAAGTGTTCCAAGAGGGGTCATGCAACTCTGTCACGTGCATAATGTCTTTGTGAACAAGCTGGCAGCAGATAAAATAGCATAAAACGGCAATCATCTGTTAAATAGAACCTGTAGGACATGGAACAAACTGTACAGACACAATATTTGGCCAGCAAACAACCACAAAGCATCAAAATGACTAAGGGTCATCTGAAACTGAAAGTACATAATCTTGTAAAAGTGCCAATGTTTTTTTCCTTATTGTAGGTGCAATGCCAAGATGTTTTAAAGGAATCACAACTGCTCACAAGTGTACTACTGTAATGACAGTGTGTTAGCTAGAGTCTGACTAGCCAGACAGGATTAGACAGAGCCGACTGCAAACAGACACAAATGCACACTCTCAAGTGTATACATTTCTTATCTTCTACACGGGATCAGCAGTAGTTAAAATAAAAAGTAAATAACACAAACCTCAGTATAACCACTCTAGTGCTAGTCAACAGGAAAATAATTTTATATTAAATGATCCAGTGTGATTACAGTAAGAACAGCTCAGCTTCATGAAAACTATAAGTCATCGCTCAGTACTAGAGAATGAGTCAGGCAGTTAAACTGTTTGTGAAAGAGGAACTTACAGCTTTGTAACATAACAACAGACATTATATAAACAATATCATCACTCCCCAAGATGGGTTAACGTCCCACACTTTGTTTAAGCCTAAAACAGTGAGTGTAGTATTGGCTTTTATTATGAATCACAGACCACTAAGATAAACTGGGCTTCAAGATAGAGACAGCTGATGCATTTAAGAAAAAAAACATATAAGCATAAAACAAACACTGTAATTGTTGCTTGCTTTATGTGAAAAGGATATTCTGGTCTCTCAAAAGCAATTTATTTTAACTCTGTTAATGAACTTATTTTATTTTGTAATGCTTCTCTAGTTTGCCCTGACTGTGTATCTGGCACAGGGCTTTTGTATAGTAAAATAAACCTTTTATATGCTTTTTTTTATTACGTGTTCAACATATTTTTTATTTTCTCATCATTCTTAAGTAAGTACACCAGATTTAATTTATTTGGTAAGTACTCTAAGTGCCACATTATTACAAAATGTACCAAAACAAGCCAGTTCTCTTCCTTGTTTACAATACAAACTCAAGCCAGTAGAAGGATTTATTTTTGGGTCAGTAGGATCAGAAAAAGGTTATCAAGATGGCACTGAATGAAGTCTGTACCACTTCAGTGACGTAAAGAAGACTTCATTTACATCTTGGCAAGGCTTTAATGATGCACTCATCCACAGGTCACCATGAATAATATCTGGTACAATATTTGCTTTGGAACAAGTGTCCTCACTGCCGAGTAGAAAGCATCTGCTCAGTGATTCCACCCACAGCCTGTAGAACACTATAGTGAGCAGCCTGTTTTTTCAATTGTTATGTTTGTTGCTGTTTCTGTCTGAGATCTCACATCCACACACTCACCCTAATTGCATTTTAATGAATCTATTGACATTTATAGCAATGGATGTATGATGACCACATGCCTGGTTGGTGTCAATTAAAAGGATAGTTTGGAATATTTGAAGTGGGGCTGTATGAGGTACTTATCCATAGTCACTACCGTCAGACCTGAAGTAGATGCGGTTGGTGCTTCCCCAATTTGGAGAAGCAGAGTTGTACCGGCACAGAAGCAGTGTATACTTCTGTGGAAAGGGTCAGCAGCAAAACTTATTTTAACCACCTAGCAGAAGGCCCACTGAAAAAGTTCAAGTGTACTCTATATTTTGAATATTTTCAGCTCTTTACGTTGCCATCCGACAGCCATTTCCTTTTCCATAGAACTTCTGTATTCCTACGCACAACTTGGTCGTCCGACTTTGCCAAGTTAATCAGGATTCACCCTCTGGGGAGCAAGAAAGTACAACCTTTTTATGCAGTCCATCCAATAGTTGTGGAGACATTTCACTCTGGACCACTGTGCTGTAGTAACTATATGATAACCCTGTGAGTGAGACCATAAAATGTGTTTCACTCCCAAGGGAATATTTACAATGACTGCTTACTCCAGCAATGTTACACATGACATTTGACCCATAACCAGAGATAACCAACAGTGGAGTGCATGAATGTACACTTTTACGTGTGTATCAACATGCACACGGTAGTTGTGCACCCATATGTGTATGCAAGTGTGTATGTTGCAGCGGCATGCTCCCTCAGTTGTCCATGACCTACATCCTGGTCTCATGACTTAGGGGGTGTCTGGTGGAACACAGAAAGTAGAGTATGGAACATTCGGGCTTCTTTCATCTCTCCCCTCTCTCTATTTCAAAGCATTTCCAAGCTCTTCATCTCCCCCTGGTGCTGCAGAAAAGAGGTAATTTCGGATGCAAAACAGAAGGTGACCCACATACCTCCTCCAACAGTGTTCTATTTCCTTAAATCTTTCTTTTTCTGGTTTTCCCTCAAGCCCTAGGGAGAAGCAGAACGATGATACACTTAGCCCAACCACGTACTCTGACTAATTATCTGAGATATACTGGGTCTCTGTCGGTCTGTATACTTAAAGATGATCTTGCCTGATTCGAGGATTTTGGTCATAGCTGTTTCTAGGTTTTAAGGGGAAAAAAACAATAGTAATACATGTTATGTTGTGATTTTTATTAAAAAACTCATAAGATAAATGTTGCTGAATAAAGTTGAAACTTTATTTAATCTTGGAAGGTTTATTATTGATTTTATACAAATGGAAAACCAACTGTAGGCCACACTCATTGCATCCTATTTTGCTTAAAACTTGAGGGAACATGGAATTACTAGTGAGAAGACCCAGACCTCCAGATCAAAGCCAAATACTGCTCTGACTGACAGTTTTTCCACTTTAGGTAGTGAGAGAGAGAATGGTTGAGGATGCCAAGCTCTCATTCTCACTGCTTTATTTGGATAGTAGATAGTCATCAGTGGACAAACACGATAAAAAAAATCTGTCCTTTGCCCATTTTTATTTGGTATCATTCTTTTAAACACGCACACAGCGGGCTGGGTATACAAAGGCTTTAGTTGAAATACCAAATATGTTCAACATTTCAAACATGTCAAATGCCATATGCATAAATGCCAAAGAATAGTGCCCTCACCTCAAGATTAGTTTGACTTGATTTTCCCAGTCCTAAAATATCTGTGGTACAGCAGTGTGCATTGTATCCCCCAGTGTCCAATGTGGAAGTTCAAACTTTTCAAAATAATTTCAAGAAAATATTTAATCAAATCAACCCTTATCTTATTATATTAACATATTTTTATAATGTATCCATGTGGCTTTTTTACTTAAGTTCACTTGTTGTGGCTGGGGCAAATATTTACTTGAACCATTTGAAAGTGAAAATTCATTTACGTACTTATGCAAAAGTTGTAAAGTAAGGATCATGAGTTAAGTTAAACAAAATGACACTGTTGCTAACTCAAAGACTAACAGGTCGACGTATGTCTTTGATTTTCAAGTTGATGTTACCCGATACGTCAAGATATACATAACGCATTACCAACGAGTAGCTTTTAAAAGTTAAATACAAGTGCTACCTGCCAATCAACTGTTCCTGCCTGTTCTTGTGTCACGTGGTACAATTCAGTCCAGTTTGATTAATGGTGCATTAGCCCAATGAAAAGTTAACAAGAGAGTTCTGGCGAATCGCCGGCTAGCTTACGCCTTATTCTTGGCCAATTAGGTTGTTGTTGTTACAGGATGTAACCAATCACAGCGAACGGGTGGGCTCTCGTTGAAGGAGCGCGAACCGTTGAGGACTAACAGCGACGAGAAAATGGCGAATGTGGAAGCGTTTAGGTAACAGTGTTATATGGAAACTTTAAGCAGTCTGAAAGCTTTTATTCCGGAGCAAAGTTATTGTAAACATCAGCGAGCGCTAAACCACTGTCACACTAGCCGAAGCTAATTTGTCATTACGTTAATTTGAGTCTTGGTAGCTACGATAGCTAGCTGGCGGGCTAGCGAGGAAACATGAAGTGTCCTTATGTTGGCAGCTATAAATGGCGTCCCTGCTCCCATAACGTCACACAATGAACAACCCTTAGGAGCAAATTTGTTAAATAGTGACTGACCTGTTTTCATGGCTTATCGTTGAGTTAAGGGCTCCGGAGCCACTCACTGTCTTTGATGATACTGCTGTTGACGGTATGGCTTTACACAACTTGGTTTTTGTTATCGATGTGGATTATGGAGATCACGATTCAGGCGATCAGGTGGGTGCCCGGAATAATCTAACGTTAGTGAAACGAGGAATATTACAAATTCTTCTGCATTTTAGCTGCAAGTATGGATTTGACAAAGTGCGCTGGGGTTATAAATTCTTTCAATCTAAGACTGGTCGTAATGCCAGCCTCATATCAAGGGGATCAGACTTCAAGGAGCTTCGCCACAAACTTTTTGAGGACTTCGAAATGGAGTTTGAAGCCAAGTTTGACGTGAAGGATAAACCGTGCCCTCCTCAGCTGAAGCAGCAATCCAGTCAATCTGCTTCACTTCAAAACGCACTCAAAGAAACCCTGCTGGACTTCCAGTGGGACAGACCAGACATCACCTCTCCCACTAAACTGTCCCTGAGGCCCAGGAAGTCGAGCCGAGCTGGAAAGCCCAGTGTTTCACAGGAGGATGATATTTCAAACAACGGGAGGAATGTGGTGTTTATTGTCTCGAAGTGCCCGCGTACCAGGACACAACTTGTGGACTATCTTTCTTTGGGAAGTCATGACCTGACAACAGATGTGGCAGATCACATTATGTCCAGGGGTCTTCACGACATGCTGGTTCAGCGACAGGTTGTAGTGCACTGGATCGACAGTAGATCACATGTCCAGGTCAGTACAGCACAGTAGTGTAGCAAATTTAGAATATTACCATTAGGCACCAACAAGAGTAATTTTTGAAAAATAAATAATCACAATATTTATACATCTGTAACTTCATAACAAATCATTTGCTTTTAAACATTGCTCATTTTTGTACTATTTGTGTAACCATACTGGTTGTTGTTGTTATGGCATTTGAGAACAAAATCACTAGTATCATGAATAATCATGTTAAGTAGGTTAGTGTCACACAGGTAATTAATGTAGTCATAGAAGTTTATTTAACTGTAAAGCAGCCTCTAGGACCAGGAATGACAACATGTAAGTTACTGTGTGTGACACTTTTTCGCGTATTGAGCTAGAGAAGGGTGACAATATAAAGCGAAAAATTAATAAGAGTGGTGAAAGAAAACGCACACAGGGTAACTGAATTATGTGAGTATGTGCTTTGGCCTTTGCAGTCATCAGATCTTAACCCAGTTGAGCCCCTAGGGTAAATTTTGGAATGATGTGTTGGACAGCACCTTTCACAATTATCATCAAATGCAGAAATATCATATGGAACAATGCCTTTCATCCCTCCAGCAGAGTTCCAGAGACTTGTAGAAACTATGCAGAGATGCATTTATAATTTTCTGACACTTTATTTTGGCATTTCCCTTTCCTTGTTACTCACCACTTGTATGACCCAGTTGTTGTTTTTGCAAATCAACTTTAAATAGGATCTAAAGTTTACTACTTATGTAGCCAAAACAGGACCAGCATTGCAACATTTGTAGATGTTTTTAAACATGCATGGTTAACCCAAACTAACCTTATGTTCTTTACAGTTTAACCAGTCAGTGTGACATTTTCAATGGCTAAAATGGCTAAACATCCACTTCCAGATATTTACCTGCCAAGTGGCTGTTAAAACAAATTCCCCCTTTCACTGATGTAAGCATCTTCTTTTGTCTTATTACAGGTCATGAGGTGTGAGGATCACCTCGGCTTTGATAAGCTGTCCGAGGTCCTAGCTCAGGTTGGTGGCAGAGTGATCCCCGTGGTTGTACTGCTGAACCTCTGCTGCACTCAAAAGACAGACTCAGGCTTCATGGGAGAGGCCTTTCCATTCAGGTCCAGTATTGGATACCTGCTGTCTTCTGAAAGGCTCTATCGCCTTGCTTTTCCTGTCATAGGAGGTGTTCTGCGGTGGGAGCAAGGTTGGTTTACATGATGGAAGGGAACTCCTTTTAGACGGCTAAATCTGAACATGAACCTAACACAACAGTGGGAATTATGTAATGCATAAATAATGAAATTAAGCACATTAAACATAAAGTTGAGAGAGAACTTCCATTATTCATGTGTGTTGTGTTATTCTTCACCCAACCAGGTGATGTGACGCAGAGCTGTGGCATCATGATTGAGCCTGTGTCTCGCAGACAGAGGCTTCTCCCAGAGTCGGTGGAAGTGTGTCTGAAAGGAGTGCTGCAGGGTTGGCATGCCTCTTCACTGACACAGACCTCCACAGAGTCATGGGTGCTTCAGTGCTCCAGCAGCACTGACCAGGAAGCTGCTGCCTTCCAGCATCTCCTGATGGAACTGTCCTCTCATGCTCTGCATATGGTGAGACATCCAAACACAACAGTGCTGTTTTACACAAGGTGCTAATGCGCAGATTGTGCCCAATTCCCATCATATGTCACTTCAGTCTGGTTAGATGCAGGTGTAGTCCGTACTCTTCATTGCCAGTAACAACGCTTTGTCTGCCCATGACATTTAGGCCATAGCACATGTTTGTTGACAGCTGCTGTCAATCAGACAAGACATTGACATGCTCCAATTGGCCAAAAAGACAAAAAAGCATTTCTGATATCTGATCTGGACCCTATTTCTCCCCCTTTTAATAATATAAAACTATAAACAATACATTTTAGACTGCAAAAAAGGGGATGAATTAATGTGATTTAAGTTGTACTCCTTTTGAAAAAATCTACAAAATAACAACATCAGCAGTTGTTTGTGATCTGCTTTCCATTTCCATAAACATTTTGTTTTGGTATGCTACAATGTAGTTTAATAGTATAAAGGTGTTCATGCTAGTCATTCAGAACAAAGGACCAAATGTTGTTGTTTGTTTATTTTTTATGTCAATTGGAAGAATGCAAGGCACTCAAACACAAGTATACAAGACAAGTTGAAGGACAGACAGTACACCAAAAAATTGCATTTCAAAACTTCTTTCCACAATAACTGTTAATGAACTGGATGTTGTTACATACTGTCTGGACATCAGTATATTGGCATGCCAATCACCCCGTGGAATAGAGGGTCAGTTGGAGCCATTAGATCACTGCATCATTTACTGATTCACTTCTCTCATGTCTCCATCTTTTGCTTTTTCCTGCAGCTTTCTGAGGTGAATGACAGTGGCCTGGTGTACACGGCTGTCCTCTCCGCCTTATCACACTCTACAGCTCTGCTCACCATTCTCCAGTCTGGAATAACTCAGCATGACCAGTTTCTGACTATGGAAACCATTGCCCCTGCCACAGCAGAAAGCTCAGCTGAACTGCCAGATGTTGTGAGCAGTGTTCTGGGAGTAGTTTATGACATCATGGAGGAGGATGGTGACAGTGTTGATGGTGAGGACAGAATAGTAACATTCAGGCCTCAAAACATCAAACTCATATCTTGGGGAAAATTTCTGCCTGAATTTATAAGTAATTCTGGCAAACACACATATAAATATAAAAGTATATGTTACAAGGAGGTTTTGGGTTGATTTGTAGCTGGTATATGTACACAGTTCATTGGTTACATTCAGTATACTTGAATAGAATGGTATTCTGTTTAAATATATATATTTTTTGTATGTAATGGTTGATCATTCACTGCCTGTCTTTTGGCGTTTTTATGTTCCTAGTCCATAAAATCTGAAATTGCATATATTAGATGTAGCGAAACTTGAGTGATGTGATGGTAGCAGTATAGTTTTATTTTTACGTTACATGTTGTATTGCTAGCTGTTTGTTTCAGGGTTTATTTATTTATTTATTTATTTTTTTTATTCTTCAGTCCAGTCAAATGATCATCAAGTTCCTGAGTGGGCTCAGCAGGAGGTCAGCCATTGCCTGCTGACAACAGGTGTGTTGGAAAGTTGGTTCCCTCAGTCAGACCAGGCAGGAGTGAGCCCCCATTTAATGGAGTCAATGAGGTAAGATTATGGTTTCAAAATGTATGTAGTGCGTTTGAAGTAAGAATTTAAGATTTAAACACTAAAAATAATCAAAGGCAACCTAAAACAAACTCAATCTTGGCATAGAAAGTGACATGTGGTCCTGATGTTTTGCTTGCTTTGTTGGACAGGTTGCTGCATGCAGTGCCAGAGCAGAGAGAAGAGGAGGAGTTGTCTGCCCTACAGCAGGAACTGATTGGTGGTCTGGCTGAATTGTATGAAACATCCCGGGGCGCAGATGCCAAGAGGGGAAAGAAATGTGAGAAAGCCTCATCTTTATGCATATTCCTGGGTAGTGGTCGAGCGATATGGGTTTTTCAATGGCCCATGCCGATCCTTAGAGAGCAGGGTGGCCGATGGCCAATATACAGGTGCATCTTTACAATATTGTAGAAAAGTTCAGTTTTGCTCAGGTTTATTTTGTTGTCGCAAATTTATCTCTTTAGAAGGGGACATTCAATGTCAAAAAATACTTCCAATCTTTGATCTACAGGTGGCGCCCATCGCACACCAGTGAAACAGAAAATGAAGACCATGAGCCGCTCCCTGCAGATGCTGAATGTGGCCCGGCTGAATGTGAAAGCCCAAAAGAACCAGGTCGAGGCTGAGCAACTGGGGGCCGAGGGCAGGGGCCCAGACAGACCAGGGAAGAGACGGTCAAGTGACAGGAACAAATCTGCTGGAGCAAACACTATCAGTGAGTGTCGCTGTTTAAAACGTTACAACACTCAACAGTCTATCTCTAAAAGAAAGCGAGTAAGCCTATTTCCCACAGTGTCGAACTCTACCTTTTGGTATAATAACAAATCAAGTTAAGTAGTCAAATCATGTTTCTCCTTTCCCAGGTTTCACTAGTGAGGCAGAGCTGCTGTCCCATCTGAAGTCCAGTTATGAGAAGACTGTGGCAGAGAGAGACTCGTCCCTCCTCACTGGTGTCCAGCAGCTCCTGTCTGCTGTGAAAACCTTCCTCGTGGCAGAATCAGACATGGAGGTGAGACACATTGTGGCTAAAATGTATTTCAAGATTGTGACCTGACCCATTTTCATCTTTTCAGCAGACTGGTTATTATTATTTGATCGTGGATGAACTGATAGAAAAAATGAAAATGTTGATATAATTTGCAGAAACGTTTCTTATCAGGATAACAAAAGCATTCAGTACATCACATAAAGAACACTGAAATCCAATTTGACAGATTCATCCATCTTCACCCGCTTATCCGGGGTCGGGTCGCGGGGGACATTCATTTGTATCTACAATTTTTTTGTAGGTAAAGACCTTTCTGTTGGTCCAGCAGCACCTCTTCAAGACAAGTAAATCAATCAGGCAGCTCTATGGCACAGCTGCTGATGTTAATGACAAAGTCAGAGAGTGAGTACTTTCTACCTTTTGTGTGTTGTCTTGTTTTTAGAGTCCCTAAAACTCAGCTAATTGAACAGCTTTTTAAATGCCTGGCTGTGGTTATACTGGCTCTCTGCCAGGTGTGCAAAGTGTACTTGTTTGTGTATGTCTGTTTGTGGCTGGTCATTGCAGATATAAACGTGTGCAAATTTTCCTTGATAAATAAAGGTTAAGGACGTAATTTTATTCTTTCTATTCCAAAGTCATGTCAGTTATATTTCGGTGTCAGTAACACAGGTTATCTCTTAGGTGCCAGCTTCAGGCATTTCTGAGGCTGGAGCTGTGCAGACTTTTCTCTTCGAAGCAGTCTGACTCTCTGGATGTTGATCAGATGGCAGAGGAGGTGAGATGCTCGCTTTTGAGTCCTTGGTACAGTTGAGGGAAAAAGGTAAAAAATTTCAAAGAGCTAGCATAAACAATTAATTTCTAACCTCTCCTGTTCATCAGGTGGCTGAAATGCTCCGGATAATCTCACTTACAAAAGACCCAGTTTGCCTAGCAAGGTTCCTTCAAGATGAGATCCTCCCACGGTAAGTGTGTGGGGCTGCAGTGACGACTTTGCTGCTCTCCCCTTACTGCACTCACTGCGCTTAAACACAGCATGCATCGGACTTCTCTGTCTTTATACTGCAGCGCTGCATCATGATGTAACATTATATATTTATTAATTTAAAACTTTTTCTTATACTGTGATGGTTAAACTTTGCAATCAATCCAGAGCATGTATGCCGAACTGTACGGAGGGAGGTGGGTAGGGATGGGTATCGCTACTCGGTACCTTTTATGGTACCTACCGAAACAGCCTGGTATCGAGTAGAACCGAAACGTCTCCAGTCAAACCAGTACTTCAATCTTCAACACACAAGCAACACACTGAAAGAAAGAGAAGAGCACGTCTTTTTTTTTTTTTTTCCCTTATTTGCCTGCATCATAAACTGTATAAAAAAATAAAAATAAAAAAAAAAGGTGTACACGCGTGGAGTCAAAGCGTGATTTTAACAGCCACTCACCTTCGGCTCCGGTCGCATGTTTGTCACTGTTGCAAGTTTATCACCACAAGCTTAGCTGGGGATTGAAATACAGCGCGGGTGGCTCAGCCTGAGTGGGCGAAGAGAGGGAGGGAAAGAGGTGTGTGAGTAGCCACTTCCTGTGAGCTAACTATTAATAATAACGTCTTTAATTTTTAAATGAAATTAGCATAGGAAAGGTCCCTTTTGATGTGAACTGAAGCGTTAAATTCACTGTGTGTGTGTGTGTGTGTGTGTGTGTGTGTGTGTGTGTATAAATAAATAAAATAAAATTTTTACATACAATGAACTAAGATATTCGGGTTCAGCCCTACCTGTTTCTATGTCTGTCTTCCTGCCCGGTTTGATCTGCTCTGCACAGCTTAACGCAGCTCCCATCAAAAATAGAGTACCTGCATATTCGCCGCATCACAGCTGAAATGTGATACAATAGTCCCCAGTGAAATAAAGCTTTTCAGTGAAATAAGGTTCTACAATATTTATAAAATCGTAGGATCTTGTTTCTGGGGAAAAAACATTGCCAGTGAACATGACCTAATCATTAATCAGGTTTCTCCACTTAACTGGAAAAATAAGTTAGAAGTATATAGACATAATCTCTGTGAGGAAAAGGAGTTTTAGGGCATCCTATATAATAACAAAATACTGATGTGCAATGAAAGAGAAATTGTGACAACCTGTAGTCATCACCAGGGTTCACCATGGTGTAAAACCCCAGAAACGCCCATTTTGATTCGACACACACTGATTAGTTACCAGATGGCGCCACAATTAAACTGACTGCCTGTAAAATGTCGGAAGGAGAACGAGGGAGAGGAGCAGTGAGACAATCATCCGGAGCAACATGCTCAATTGACAGTCAGCAATTGAGCGTAGTTATGTAGTTAATGTTATGGTCATTCAGTGAGAGGGTGTACATTCTTTTAAGATGTACATCCATGTGAAATTTGATTTAAACAACCAGTAACTTATAACTTACTGCCAGGAGAGGCACCCCAAATAAAAAGAATATTTAAACTGTAAACCAAACTGTCATAGATTGTGTAATATTTCATCTATAGTTGTTCGAATCTAACAAGTCTTTCTGTGTCATGGCAGGTTCCTGACCTCCATCCCCAGAGTGCTTGCAGACATCTACCACAGTCTGGGCACCCAACTCCCCGACGCATTGGTGGCTGTTCTACCTGCTGACTTCTTCAGCGACGAGTCAGTTGCCAAGGACAGTGTTTCTCCTTCAGCATCCTCACCTCCCCTCTCCACACACAGCCTGGTTTCGGATGGCAAAGATTGCCTGCAGGACCTGCGAAATCGCTCAGCCAAAAAGAGGAGGTGAGGAGAGGCTGTATGTTTGCTGGATGTCACTTGGAGGAAATCATTTTTACTAATTAGTAGAATTTTTAGTTGTATGATGAAGCCATAACATGATGTAAGGTATGTTTTTATTTGTTTTTGTTTTTTTTCTTCATGTTTTTGTCTATTTTTCTTTAGGACCGGTATGCTGACTCGTCATCGCAGTATGACTGAATCATCACAGAGTCTTCGCCAAATAGAAATGCCCAAAAAGACGAAAAGAGCTGTAAGATGTCCATAGATAATTAATCACTTTTTTTATTATGAAACTCTAATCAACTAATATTTCCATACTGTCTAATTGTTGTTTCAACCTGCTTAGACTCATTCAACAGCATAACGGCTTTTAAATGTGTTACTTTCTCATTTCTCAAATGCTTACTGTGTTGACCTGTGTAAAGACCATCACCTAGCTAAGAGACCTGAAATTTATGTGTATACAGTATGTTTCATGGTTATTTTAGCTGTCTAATCTAGATTCTTTACCTGTCATTAGTCCAAATCAAAGGTCTGTGTTGCTTTGGAGAAACTTGCTGCAGAACCACCACCTCAGAAACAAGAAACACAAGGTCTGTTCTGTTTTACATCTAACTTCATCATTACATCGAGTGCCACTTTCCTGCCCAACCCCAAATCTATGTTTTGAATATAAAATTTAATCTCTGTAAGTTTGAATTATACTGTAAAATGTTTGCTCCTTAATGAAGAACAGTAGACTGTGGACAGCTCAAATTAATTTGGTTCAAATCATGTCAAAACATCCTCAAGCTTACCCATGCCATTTTCACAAAGATGAAGTCAACTACAAACTCTTTACACCCTCCTCGCAAGCTAACAGGGGGAGATTGTTTCATATTCTAAAGATAGATTTTGGAGGCAGTATCACCTTTGCCATTTATCAGTAGGCATTACCATGTTTGCATGAGAGTCCTAAATACAGACCCGTGTTCTGATTGTCCACAGAGGTGACGAAGGTAAGAAGAAATCTGTTCAACCAAGAGATTGTTTCCCCTTCAAAGAAAGCCAAGCTTCCGAGGAGCAAGTCTGTGTCTGCTGTGGAAGGATTAAAACGCAAGCGATGCAGTGAATCTGAAGGTAAACTTATTTTAAATGATGAAATGAAAGCTGACTTTTTATGTGCAGGAGAGGAGAAGCCTTTACCTTCAGTACTCAGCCAAGCAACCTTGATGTTCAGATATTCACTGCTAAAGCTAAAGTTAGAAAGTTGAGTGTATTTTTCAGTGATAGGAGTACGGCTGTACATATCGATTATTTTTCAAGTCGATTAATCTAACGACTAATTTTGTTTATTCTAAAGAAAGAAAAGTTGTTTATCCAAAATAAATATCAAAAACATGTCTAATCAATAAATCTTAAAATGAATCAAATTTCCACGTTACTGATGTGTTGTGATAGTAACAATAACAGACATTAATTAGGCTACTTTACTTAAAACTTTAAATGTTTCTGACATGGATTCATTTCAACATTAAGTAATGCAGTATGATAATAAAATGTATTTCTGCATCAGTGAACACCTGAAAGGACTCAGACTGTACAGACAGTCACAGATCGTCTGTATTGTTAGTTTCAGCTGTTTTCTCGCCCATACGTGGCTTTTAAATAATCAGAAAATATGAAACAGCCGATCGTTACATGACTTGCGGTGTTACGTTGGGGCAGAAATTACTTGAAGGCAATAAACATTTTAACGGACTACGTGTCCTTGTGCTGATTATGTGCCGTGTGTGGCGACAGAAAGTAAACAAATACTCCAAACTTTAGACGGTCGAAGGTGCGGTCTTGTAGCTGGAGCTTGTCCGGGATAATCCCACACCGGATGCAGCGATGCGTCGACGCACCTAATGCATGTAATCCGTATTTACGTAATCGATTACGTCGACGAATTGCCCCAGCCCTAGATAGGAGTTTCTTCCACCATGCATCTATTTCAATAAACTTGATATTTATAGCAATTAGTTATAAGGAGATTCTTTCTTTTCAGAGAAGCACAAACTTCTAACAAAGAAAGTGTGTGAAACGCCCCTCCATAAGCAAGTGTCCAGTCGCCTCCTATACCAGCAGAAAATGGGACGGTATGTTTGTTAACAGTTTGCCTTGTTGACATATATTAAGGATTTTGTTTTTGTTGTATGACTCAGAAATCATTTACAGTTGATAATTATTGTGAACAACCCTTAAGTGTTGTGTTTTTGACCTTTTTCAGGAGGTCTGTCCCATCTGAGGAGTGCATTGTGGAAGAGTCACCAGTAAAACCTGCAGAAGGTATTTTAGTGATATTTTGTTTTTTCACCCACACAAAATTTATAAACAAAATTATATTTATATAAATGTAAGAATTATAATCTGTATTAGTCTTGTTTTAAGTACGCAACAAAAATATGTCTTTTGAAATGAAAAAAGAATAGAGAGGGGCTTATTTTTTTAAAACTGATATTTATTTAATTAGTTTTCAAAGCTATTAAATCCTCATTTGTTTGACATTGTTATGTTGTAATTAGTATTATTGGGCATTTGACAATGAAGGGCAATTTTACACAATTCATGCACCACGCATAACTTAGCCCTTTGTGTGCTTTGGTTTTGTATCAGACTTAAGAAGGAGCCCAAGGATAAAGAAGTTTGCTAGAAGACACTCAAACACCTTCTACTCTAGTTCTCAACCACGCTCCCGTAACCTGGAGAGGGCGCTCTCTGCATCCCAGCTTACACTCAGCGATGGCAAAATCACTGGGCTTAATGTAAAAACAGTTCGGTCTCCCATGCGTCTTCTTTTTGGGGCTGCCGATTCCCCCAGTCGTCCTTCTGACCAGTCTTCTGCAACCAGGGCCACCAGGTCACGGCTGTCCACAGACTCTACTGTCTTTGAGGTAATAACATGGTTCACCAAACACATCTCATGCAGCTGTACTGCCTAAAGAGTTTTGATGTCTGCAAATACATGCTGCTAAAGGTAATTTGTTGTACAAGCAGATTTAAAACAATTAGTGGATGCAATGAAAATATAGCACACTGACAGATTTCTTCAATTTTGTGAGTGTAAAAGTACTAAGCATCTTTTCATTTTATAGTGTGTTTCAGAAATATATTTTCATATAAATGTTGTATAGCACTGCTTGTACAATATATAAAGAAATCCATATAATTACAGTATCTATGCATTCATAATAAAATGCTTTTAGGAGCGGTCCTGCTCACAACATAACTGTTCTGCTTCATTGTCATCACTCCCATGTCATTTTTAGCCACAGTAGGCAGCTGTTTTCAGCAAAAAGTGCTATGCTGTGTTCAATACAAAATCAGTTCTCGCAGGTTTAATGCCTGTTTTGTTTGTGTTTGTTTTAGAGTCCAAATAAAACGCCAACAAAGTCACCTGGCAAACGTGGGAGGGCCAACCATGAGATCAGGACACCCAAGACCCCTCGAACCCCAGCGAGCCCCAAAACCCCACCTCTTTCCAGCAAGCGTGTTTTCTCAGTTGCAGAGAGCCCTGTAGCAGGCAGCTCTTGTGAGCTTGGTATGGCTCTTAGGGGCAGTCCTTTCAGATCTCCAGCAAGAAAGAGTCTTGTAGTAGAGACGCCTACTAAGCGAAGCCCTGTGATGAGCCCACTGAAGGGTATTCTCAGGACTCCAGTCAAAGCCTTGCTTGACTGCCGCGCCTCTTCTGGATTACATTTGCGCAATAGCCCAGTTTCCAGGACTCCCAAGAAGAGCGTCACGTGGTCTCCATCCCCTCGAAAATATAGAGTGGCAGAAAACAGCACTACTTTCAAGGTGCCAGAGTCTCCTCGTATTGCATCCCGGACTTCTCCGAGACTGGTGAAAACGCCCAACACGTTCAGCAGTCCTGTCAAAAGCACAAACACTAAAAGAGACATTTTCAAGACCCTAGAAAAGGCATGTCAAGTGTGCCCAGTAAGGGATTCTGAAAATGCAAATAACATTATTTTGACAAAGGAAAGAAATCTGAGGTCCTCTGAAAAACTTCACAATAGGATGAAAACACCTGGAAAAAGTGACACTGATAGTCAACTGGAAACGCCTCTGCCACAATCCACACTGCCCCTAGACCACTACACCTCACCTAAACTGAACTCTGGAACTCAAACCAGGACCCCCAGTCCTACTTGCCAAATGATTACTCGTTCTGGACGAACTCCAGGCAAAAGTTCAAACATTGCATCCCCATGTAAGCCAGTATTTACACCAGTAAGAGGTACCGCTGTTTCAAACGGATCAGATACTTCAGTAAAGTCTCCAACAAAGTCCCTGACAAGAACGAGGTCTGGTGAAGGTGCTAGAACCAGATCCCAGTCTAGTGAAAATGTTGCCTCCAAACTGAACACAGAATCTGCTGACAACTGTGACCTTGTGGAAAGGAACATGCAGTCAAATACAGGGGTATCGGCTGAACGTGCACAAACATCTGAAACGGACTCTAGTTCACATACAGATTCACAGCAACTTGACACGTCACAATTAAACTCTGAATCCACAGAAGATGATAGTATGGACATTGTAGATGCAGCAGTCGTAAAGACCCAGTTTAGTGGAGGTCTCAAGATGAACATTAGCTTTTCACGGAAGCATTCAAAGTCCAGTGAAGACTTTTTGTCCGTTGCAGTGTCTCCTAAACCATGTGTGCCACCCCAAGGCACACCTGCTAGGAGCTACGGCTTCCGGCAGACCCCGGACCGCCAACAGAGGGAGGCTGCTGCTCGTTTGGGGTACGGAAATGATTCCCCCCGATTCTCAACCCCTAGGGGCCCAGCAAGACCCAGTCGAGAAAAGGGCATGGGTACTCCGAACCCTCTGACCTACCAAGTAGAAATGGAAATGCAAACATCAGGACTTCCCAAGCTCAAAATCAAACGCACAGATTCCATGAATGCGGTTGATTTGACCTCAGGAGCTCAGAGCCCTTTGGTTGTTGTGAAACCTTCTCAGCTGGAAAGCCCCTTGGTTTTGTTCTCTAAGCACCGAGATCCTGGATGTGTCTCACCATCTGTCTGTACTCATGTCACCCCGGCTAAGAGCACACCTAGAAAAGGTGGAAGCGTCCAAACTTACATCTGCCAATCCTACACGCCTACACGCCATCGTACAGGAACAGTGTCTCCGGTGGCAACTGCAGACATCATTCCCCTGACTCCTTCACCTCAAAGTGTAGGTAAGGCGACCCCGGACAACCTCAACAACTGGCCTCGCAGGAAGAGGGCTCAGATCGAAGTGGTTGGAGGCAGGGATCGTGGCCTGAAGGGGGAGCCTTTACTGGTGGAGTTGCTGGAGGAAGCTGAGCTTGGAGTTAGCAGATTGCAGGACGCTGAGGACATTGACGAACCCTCAAACAACAAAGCTGCAATATTAACTTTGACTTCCAAACGGTCACCCTCATATGGAGCAGATGCATCTCCTCTTTCTCCAATGGAAGACTTGTACTGGATAGAGAAGCTGGCTCAGCAGAACGACTGTGCCGATCCCCAGAGAGCAGAAGAAGAAATCATCTGGGCCGCTGCAAACGGAGATGGGGAGTCATGTAAGCCATGGTTGACACACTCTGTAACAGTGCTTTTATTGTTTAAGAAGATTTTTATGCCATAACATAACTGACTGAAATTAAATATTAATTCAAACATTTGAATAATTTAACTTTGTGGCAATTGACTTATCAAATATTGGACTTGTTTTTTTAGAGGTTTGATTGAATGAAGTTACAGAATAAAGCCTTAATTCTGTCACTACTTTTTTGCATTTTGACAGTAGCTACTCCTCCCAGCTCAAAGGTGAGGAAGCCGGTGACGGCGAGTGGGATTCTGGCCCTCACTCACTCTCCATTGTTGTTCAAGGGCAAAACGGGCTCTGCTAGTAAGAGAAAGACACATTTTAAAGGTAAGGATGTACATGTACAGTGTTTATCTTTCCCAGTTAATTAAAGGCACTATTTATGAGCCATGTACTATAAAATGGAGGTTTTGAGCCTCCCAAATTGATTTACGTATCTTTTTATAAATGGGATATTATTAGACAACTGCATTATTTTCTGTTAATGTAATATCTTGGCCAAATATCAGTGATACTACTAAATATTACAGTAAAACAAGTCTACTGTAATGCATACTGCAGTTTAAATCAACCTCTGATTTATACTTTATAAATTAGATGTATATTCACATAAAGTCAGGTGTTTTCTTTGGGTTTCTCAGTAGCCTTTATATTACCAGGGCAGGAAACTGATGGATGGTAAAACCTGATTGGCTGCTTGCCAACCTGGCAGAGTTTATGGCCAAAAGTATGTGAACACAATACTGTCCACATACTAGTACTTTTGGTCTCTGGTCATTGTTTCCAATAAAGGGAAATATTAAAGGGTGTGCTCAATTTTATCTTAAATTAATATACCGTAAAAGTCACTTTACACTATTAGTCACTGGAGTTGTTCCTTATGTCTATACTGCCCACTAAGAAATCCCTTCTTTAAGCAATTTTAAGAAATTGGGGACAATATACATAGTACTTGTTGTGTCAAAAAAATAATAATAATAGAGAATAAGGTGCAGTCACATATAGAACTGCGACAATTGGGCAATCAACAGAAACAGCAGCATTTGGGATAATCAAATCATTTTTTTCCAACTAAATGCTGGTTGCAGCTTCTCAGAATTTGCTGCTTTTCTTTGTGGTATCTGAATATCTTTGGTTTTTGGATGATTGGTGGACTAAAACATGCTATTTTAATACATGTGTAATACATGTTTTCCACAATTTACTGACATTTTATAGACAAAACAATTAATTGAGAAAATAATACAGATTAATTGACAGTGAAAATACTTTTTAATTGCAGAACTATTTTAATTTATTGGTGTATAGCCCCTTGAGATGCAGCATCTCATTTTAAAAAAAACATACCTAGTACAGAGAATACAAATACACAAAACAAATGCTCAAAACAATTGAGTTACTAGGCAGCTTACACCCTCACCCCAGACCAAAGATGCATCATGGTTCAGACATGTTATAGCTAGCACAATAAGTATATCTCATTTACCTCGTTACACAATCAGGACCCATAACACATTTGAGATTCATTGTGAAAAAGTATCACATAAGAAAGACAGAGGTCAAATCCATAGGAGGTAAATCAGTTAGACTAGTCACACATTGGTGTTTGACTGCCCACATACTCTTGAGCATGCTGTGTATTTTCTACTTGTCCAGGTGAGACAATAGGATAGAGTTCTAGCATTCTTTCACTGGCTTAATAGCCAATGTGAACAAACAGCCTGATAAATGCACTTACCTAAACATTCCCCCTGCACTGTAAGTTAACTCACAATCCTCATTCTTTCCTAAACCTTGTAGATGAGGCTGCATCGGGGAGGAGGATAGAAGTTGATGCAGTGGACCTCTCTCCCTTCAGCCAGCCGATCACACGCTCAAACACGGAGAAGACTTATAGCAGGAAGAGACTGCTTCACTGAACCACAAATCCGCCTGCAAAAAGCAAACAGATGGTCCGTTCTGTGCGTTACTGTGAAGTTGCGAGCATTTTTTAGCCATATTTTGTCAGGAGTGCTTTTTATGGCAGATCTGAAAGATGCCTTTCAAGCACCACTTGATGAATGAATGTCCCTTTCAGTCGCCTCCACCAACACTGTTGACCATCACATTTCTGTTGTAACGTGCGGCTTTTGTTTTAATCAGGACATTTTAAGATTAATAGGTAGGTTTAGCATGGAGTTGAAAAGCTATGCAGTTCTACTGTGATGTTTAAAATTGTTTGTATTAATGACTTTATCATTCAAAGTGTGCCATGTTTTCTTCATGGGTTCTTTGAAACGGTGACTTTATATGTCATTGTTTTTAAAAATTGTGATCAGCCATTTTACAATCAAGTCTAAAGCCTACATTTGTTGATATAAATACTATTCATGTTTATTTATTAGTTTGTTTGTTCTTGTCATAACTTGCTTTTACACCGAAAGGAAGGCCTAATGATTGCATCATATTGTAAATAGCTCATGTTTCCAAAGTTTATGTAAATAAATATCAGTTTTCAGAATGAAGTTATTAAAAATGTTTTTTCCGGTACTCGCCCTACTTATGTTTGAATATTTGGCAAAGCAGGGAAAGACAAGAAAATCCATACACTAACGTAATCTAAAACCATTCAACTTTATCAACTGCCAGTGACTGATAGGAAACCTGAAACATTTTTCCTGTAATCACCTACATGTTCGAAGGTCAGTGCTCTAAGAGTATAAAACTTTTCATGTGTTTTCAGTAGATGGGACATTAAAGAGTGTAGGAATATGAAATGACATGTTGTTGGCTGACAATCAGGTTCCCGCATTTTATAATCCTGATCTGTTCAGGAAGTTAATTTTATTTGTTTCATCAGAACTGCTAGTTGATTTGGGCATGAATGTATTGTTCATTATTTGTAATTCTCCTTTGCTATCAGTTGTTTGCCTTAAAGTCAGATAAGGTGATACAATGGTGTGCTGGGTTTGTATGACAGTTTAGTCAGAGGACATGCTCTGCACCGTGTTGCTCCTGAAGTAGGAGTTTTTCAGTTTTGTATGCGCAGTGCTGCTAACTATTCCACCCAGTGGACAACATAGGTATTAAGGACAAGAATGACATTTTGATATGTCACAGTAAAAAATAAAATTAGATAAATACATGATGGCTGAATTAGATTTAGCTGCTTTTGTTTCATGTTCCTAGTATTGTGCATGCTGGCTCACTGCAACATGAATTTTCATACTATGACAAGTCACAATGTCTGTTGTGAAAAGGCCTGTTGACAGCCTTTTAGTTACTGGATTAGTACATATGAAATTGTTTAAGCTGTGTGATGTTGAATGGCGGTTTCAGCAGCTTTCATTTGCTGCCACAAATGATGGATTGTATTGCGGTCTGTACTCTGACATGGCTTCTCCACATCATTAGCATTGTTATACTTTACTTCAGTGGACTTTCAGGCGGATGTACTACATTGTTTTCCTTTATTGAATTAGTTTCTATTTGTGTTGTAAACTAATTCCATGTCCTGGAGAAAAGCAATGCGAACTTTGATCCCAGTACGCACTATTTCCTCTAATCCACAGATTACTTAATGATCCTCCATAAGGAGCTCATGCCTGAATATAAAACAGTATGGCCTCTGTCTAGACTTGTGACTGACTGAAGGGGACACTTGAAAGTGGGCAGATCTGATCACCGACTAAGAAGTTTTTCAGTTTTTTTGTTTTATAAGCATTGACAAAAATATGGCACATTAAATATTAATATTACATTGCAGCTGGGAAGGTGTACAGAGTTATGTACAGGCATCAACACCATCTACCAAATGTTATAGAAAAGTCTGGTTAAGTGAGGTTACAGTCTATAAATTGAAAACTGATCTATGTATGCCAAACTTTAAATTTAATGTTTTCTTGAGCTAGGTATAGCTTAATTCCTCTCAGAAGTTTTTTTTTTTTTTATCATTAAGAATCAGAAAAGTTGAGATCAGTGTGGACTATAAATCCAAATAAATAAATATAGGCTACCAGAGTGATAAATAGAGGGATTAAAATACTGATGGTTGCTAAAGGTTGCTGGAAGTTCATATATGACCTATTTTGTGTTATTAGTGGTAGGCCTGTGCAATTGCGTCATTGGACAAAGGAACCTGAGTGCTAACTTTCCCAAAAGCCTAAAGTAAAGTCAAATCAGCCGTGGAGCATCGCTATGAGGAAGTAGCAGTAGTTTCAATGGTATAAATGACTGGATTGCCCTTGTGATGCGTTTTTACACAGAAAAAGCCCACTTATCCTGTCTGTCTGTGTGAAAAAGGAAAGAACGAGTGACAGCATTGTTGTTTGTTTTGGGGTTTTGTAAGTCAGTGTTGTTGGTCAGCTTTATGTGACATGTTGCAGTGCTGCAGCTCTGCCCGCTGATGTCCTTCAATAGTCACATCACGCACTCCTCCACCGCTGTCAAGGTCGCCACAATAAGGTATGTGAGTTCCGGAGATTTCACAATAAAACCCGTAGTGATCGCCCTCGTTTGGAGTTCAGTGAAAGTGAAAATTGCATAAAAAGGAATAACTTTCAAATGTAATTTTGACCACGAACTCTTTGTATGCGATTAGTTTTTTCTAGGCAGAATATTAAAACAGATTGTAATCTAGTGCTTTCTCACCCCCGCCTGTAAGGAAAATTAGTCTACGTACCACAGTGATTCATCTCACTTAAAGGTGACGGAACTGGGGCGTCCTGATGGCCTCAGATTAATTTCAATGTTCCTGGTTTGAATCAGACCGTTTTTGCATATCTCTTCGTCTCATTCCCCACGTTTCCTGTTCTCTCTACTGTTTACGGTCAAGTAAAACCACTATAACAACTTTGGCTATGTAATGCCTATGCTATGAAGTGGTATATTGTTCTTTCTTTGTTTGGTTTATTCAAATTCCTTTTTGGCCTATGACCCAAATCAGAGTTGTCACCATTATAGGGATATATAAAGATAACAGGCAAGTGAGCCTTACGGATTATGTATTTTTCACTTTTTCACAAGTGGCAATAGCACAATGAAAAAATAGTCCATTACATATACAAATCCTGTATTGAATGTATTCAACATGTAGTAAGTATTATATATAGTTTTGTTAGTATATATAATTATATTATATTAATGTTGGACCAAATTTAATCTACATCAATGTATCATATTTTATAAGATGATCATAGGTTTTGTGAATAAAATATGAATCTGTAAATTGTCTCTCATTGTTTTTGTTGGACTGCTGGATAAATTATATCTTTTGTTATATTGTATATGTTGATAATATTGTGTTATATATTATATTAGACTTTTTACTTATTATACTGTACTGTATCATTCTAGACTATATCCATGCAATACAATATTATATTTGATATTCTATTCCATATTGCTGACTATATACTACACTATATTATGTCATACTAGGTTATATTACTAGATTTTACCTTAAGCTTTTATCTCTCATATCCCATACTATATTATACTGTACTATATTATATTATGTTATATTATGTTCCCTGGACTTTTGCTCTTTCGACTATTACTATTACAATTAGATTTCTATTAGATTTTCTTTATTAATACAGTCTATTTTATTATTTTTTACTTATTGCTTTCCTTGTGCAACAACCAAATTTCCCCGTTGGAGATCAATAAAGGTTCAACTTAAAAACCCTCTGAAATATAATAAAGCAGTAGAAGAACGAAAATAAAGTACAAGTAGGCGCATATCAAACGGATAGCCTATTTATGTAGCCTGTAGTAGTAGATGTACTTTTCACCACTGTTTAAGCAAAGCTTGTGCTTTTATTTTGAAGCTAGACTTAATTGTCCGGTCTCGTGCTGTGTGTATCCGTCCACCTTGACGTCGCTCGTGTAAAATCGTTCACCCAGTTATCATTCCCTCAGTGGCGCTTCACTACCGACTCTCCCACCCACCTGTCCATCCCTACCTGGAAACACTACGTTTTTTTCAAAACACCTCTAAAGAAAACGAAAATGGCAAGCAGCTTCTCGAGAATCCTGTCCTCCAAACGGAGCATCGGGATCCTGTCGGTGGTGGGGGGCTCAGTAACGGCTGGGTTTCTGCTGCACCGGGAGCATGTCAGCGCCGGAGTGCCTGTACGGAGGAGGTACCCCGCCAGGTAACGTCACCCCGCCGGCCTGTGAGCTTCATTATGTTCCTGAGTTAAAACATCCATCTAGGCTGTCACGTCATCGACGCACATCTTATAATTATGTTATTCACTATTCAAAATGTGGGTTTAAATGTTAACCAACCCCGACAGCCTAAATAACCTTGATCTTCATAGGCCTAATTATTAAATTAAATAGGCTACAAATTAAATAGGCTATCATATCACAGCAATTTACAGAGTAGGATTATTAGTATTAGATTAGTTAAAGCACCTTTACTGACACAGGTCTCTTGCTGTAGCCTAAATTGTAGGTTATAGGCTAATAATTTTTGTGTGTGATTTTTGGGCGGGAGCAACCTTGGGAAATATGTTTTTTTTGTTCATCATAGTGACAAAAATTAAGGCACAGGAGGAAACGAAGCATATGCCTACTATACAAACCTTCTCGGGAAAATACATAGGCCTATTTAACCTAACATAGGTCTATCCCGTTATGGAAATTTGTGAAGCATATAGGTTCAATTTCACATACTAGTCAAACTTGAGCCATGTTTGCTCAAATGTACATTTTTCTTGCAGAATGAAGCAGATTTGTGTCTCCTGCGCCTGATCTCAGAGGACAATAAAGAATAAACGGGTGTGAATAAAAGACAAGGCGAGGCTTCGTGGGGGGTTGGGGGGTTGTGCGTACGTGGCCCACGACACGCCGCATCAAAAAGCTGTGCATTTATATCGATTTATTAAACGTTATCTGCCGCTCAGACATAAATCTCAGACCAGAGTGTTTAATGCGGCCATGCACCGGGCACACAGAGCAGAGAGCCTTTAGGTTAGACATAATCGATTACTCGCCAAGTGTTACCATAAAGGCATTTTGGTCAGAGAAACCAAACGTTGGTGATTTTTCTTATTAAGTCTTATTGACACCATTAACATTATCTGATAGGGAAACATCATAATCTGAATCCTGCCAGTGGGATACGCCCAACATTTAATCATTAAAACGAGTATAATGTTTGGCCAAAGATAAAGTAGACCAGCTGTATATGTGGACTTTATGCTGGTGAGGTTTCCCTTATCTAAATCAGGAGTCTCAGACAGAGGGTGTCACATGCTGTACAGATTGTAAAGCCCCTTGAGAGGCAGATTTGTGATATTGGCCTATGTAAATCTAAAGATATGGTCAAGATATGGGGAGAATAGCCCATAATTTTAAATCACAATATCATTACGTTATCCTACATAGGGTTAGAGCATAGGGGAGACCTGGGGCAATTGTAACACACTCAATTATATAAAAAGGAGCAGGATAATTTCTCCACAGCAGACGTTTTCAACAAAATACTGATTTCAAAGAATCAAAGTAACTTTTT